CGATGAACACGTTTGGTTGGACACACTTGCTGATATGGTTAGGAGCCGACCTCAGTGGCGTTCGTGCTGTTAGTTTCTTTGTCCCATTCCATCTTTCTTAGCCACCCCCTCCAACCACGATCACATTACTTAGCCTTATATAATTTTGCATAGTAATTTTATCTGATGCACTGTAATCGGCTGTTAGCTTACCAGAACGACGCCCATCCGTTACCGGTAGCTCAGCCGGTTTGCACCAGTTGCATTTTTCTCCTCTTTTCTGTGTAGTGCGGCACAGTAGCTGAGGTGTTCCCCACCTCTAGCTAACGTGTATGATGATGAGAAATCTGTCGTTGCTATAGCAAACATGGAATAGTTAGGAAGGGGCCATATTGCAGCGAGAACGACGCGACAATTAACCACCATCTTAACTGACGCCACCGCAAGCTATGTCACCTCTCCCACAGGCGTACATTAATGAGCCATGTGTCCTTCACCCGTCTCACCATCTCGCCTGGCTTCCGCTCGCGACACGTCCATGCTCTCCTTGAGGTACGGGAAAATTATCCTATGTCCATTTCGCCCCAGTAACTACGCTTACATGCGTCCCCGTCTGACCGGCACGTGTCGTTCGATAGAACATGTTTTGCTTGAACTTGGATCTATTGATCTACATGTGGTGGTTCCGGGAGGATGCAATAACCACGGTTTTGTCCGATTTATTGCGTTTTCGAAAAATACTAGCTTCGTTTCCCTTTTCGTTCGCTTGCGTTTTAGTGGTCTTGTTGTCCTCCCAGCAACCACTGTTTTCCGCCTCCCCACAATATCGTCATGCAACAGCAATATGGTTTCTGCCAAAACCGTTTATGTACCATGAAACCTTTTTAGCCCTGCTAGCTAGAGTGAATTCGTTGACGTCGGGGAAGGAGTCAACCCTGAATCCCTTGGTTTCTCTAAGACATCTGATCGACTTGATCACCAGATTGTTCTTCAAAAGCTTTAGAGATACAGGAACGTGGCCCTATCCTACGCTGGATTCCTTCATTCCCACTTTAACGAGTCTTGAAGGTGCGAGTTCGTAGCACCCTGTGCGACCTGAAAGGACTTTACTTTGACGTCCCTCATGGCTGACTATTAGGATCTAATGTTCATAAAATACCTCGGGAGAGTATTGACGTGGAACCTACTACTCTTTGCGGACAACCTCAAGAGTTGGCAGACAAACAAATCAGTAGACGACTAAATACATCTACAAGGCGATCTCAGCAGGGTCTTTGAGTTGTCCAAGCATAACATGTTTGTGTTCAACCTAGCCAAGTGCAAACTAAGGATTAAATGCCACCAGATCACCTACCATTGTCGACTGAGGGAACACATACCGCATTGCGCATTACATTGGAGCGGTCATTATGTGCTTGATCAAGACGATCACGGTTGTTGAAAGCAGACTGCGATGGCAGTTAAAAATGCCAGCCAACACTTGGACATATTGTGGAGGGGGAATTTACAGATTGATTTCACTTTATTTTCGCAAATGCTCAGAGCTTACAGGAGGCCACACGTTGCATACGCCATCTAAGCTTAGCATCCCTGGCAAAATCGTTACTTTACTGCTGTTGAGTAGGGAACATTGGGAACGACAAAATGTGCAAAGTATGCTCCACAACCTTTAACATTTGAGAAAAATACTCTAGTGGTACCTAGCAAACAGGATCTTCTTCTGCGCGGTGTTCTCAGTTTTGTGTATCAGGTCCTCAATGATCTCAACTAGCAATGCTGACGCATTAAAACTCTGACAAAAACACCGCACTATGAGTCCACCATTTAAGGCTGGCGACAGTATATCCGGTTGGAATGTAGCCGCAACTTTTCTCTTTCTGTAGGTCCCAGAAGTAAAAACATTTTCTGGATTTCGTTATATTACCCATCCATTGTCAGAATTCACAAGTCGACTTGATAACGTAACTAAACATTGTGCGTACTTCAAATGTGCTGTAAGTCCTCGGCTAGGCATGTTCTTTTGTTACCTCAGTGGGTTCTCACTCCTAACCTAAGAAAAACTGCCAAGCGTTTCACTTCAATATCCATGATAATTCCATTGCTCTTTTGATATATTACACACGATATCCTACTCGTGAACATGAAATTAGTTGAGAGGGAAGAGCAATACTGTTCCGGATAAAGGATACACAGTTTAGGTACAAATGACCTGGCAATAAAAGTGTTAACTCTAATCCATCCTGAACATTGTTGAGTGATTTCAACTCAAGGCACCATTTAACAGCAGCCCAGCACAGTTCACAATTCATAAGCGTCGCTAAACTCTAACTGCAAATAATGAACTCAGCTGATCTCATTGGGGTGCGATGATTTTTCCTGGTTGACAATGTGGTGTAAAGCAGTACCAGCGTTCAGAGCGACTACATTATGCGTTCGGTGATGATGCGCTTCTAAGGACCGCCGTGTTCGAGTGGTTTGGGAAATTCAAGCTTGGCAGACAGTCTCTGAATGACTTGGCACGGCGTTGTTGAATTGTGGAGGTCTCCATCTCGGAAGACATTATTACTGTGCAAGCGACGTTGGAGGAGGAAGCGCACGTGACTGTGATACTGCTGGAAAAAGCCATAGGGCACTTATCGGGATTAAACCGCGGCCTCTGGAAGGTGTGCGCATCAGTTAGGACCAGAAAGTAACCCAGATGAATTTATACCGCACCATGCTTGCAAGGTTTGATAGTGGACGTCCCGATCGTCTTTGGGAGATCTTCAGTGGTGATGAGACCTGGGGGTACCGCTTCGACTCAGCGACCAAGTAACAATCAGCTCAGCGAGCAGCAGTTGTTGGGGCACGGTCCCAGAAATCCCGGCGTTAGGGCAGTGTGGCCAAGCAGATGGTGGCTGTGTTTTTGGCCAGGACCGGGTATGTGATTGCCATATTGCTATTACGGCAACGCTTAATTACCGGAGACTGGTATGCCTCCCAGGGTATGCCACACGTGCTGGAAGCTGCGGCCAGGCGTCATCCAAAGACTCGAGCACGAGGGACTTGTAGCGCCATGTCAAAGCTCCTGCACACAGGTCAAATATCATCGTATATCTTCTGATTAGAGAATGCATTTAGAAGTTTTGTTACCCTCCCTACCGTCCAGACCTGTCTCCGTGTGACATTTTAGTTCCAAAATTTCAAGCACAAGATATATGGAATCTGTTACGGGTCCCCGGAAGCTGCGGTAGTGGTCTTTATTGAGCTGCTTTAAAGGTTACCCGCCTCGCCATGGTCTAGCTGCATCTACAATATGTTTCAGCGCATGGGAACGTGCATGAACGCTGAAGGAGTGTACTTAGAGGAAAGGAAATGATTATTTTGCTGTAAAAATAACTACTTTTGTGCATCCAGCGAATTATTATTCTACCATCTTATTTTCTATGTTAAGTTATGTTATGCATTGTTGAACAGTTTCACGAATAAACTTTCCCTACAAGGCTAAGCGCCATGAAGCGTAAATCAATTTAACATCTGCATTTTGTAAAAGGCCTCCTAGAAGTGGGAAGCCGGGAGATTGATTGAGACTGATTCCGATTACTGCAGACCATGTGAAAACCACCGAACTACGGCAAATATATCATTATTTTGTATAGAGCGTCTGGTCAGTTTGATCCCACATTTTTGTAGAAACGCTCGATGCATAGGTTCGAGCACACGTGGAATATGCTCTCAGGATTTGACGTTCCTGACAGATGCCCGATCACCTTATCCTCGAAACTACACAAGGGAAGAGTTAAGAACGTAATAGCCCTGTTTTACCTGACATTTGGAATATATAACGTGCAACCTCCGCGTGTTCTTTGTGGCCTCAATATGGATTGCGAAATCCTAATGAACTCCATTCACGTTTGCCACCCCTTTCAAGAATTATCTTATAACACCAAACTGACAGGCAAATGTTCGGAAAGCAGTTTAGACAGCTGGGAAACTATCGCAATTGCTTCCTCCTTACAGTACTCCAGCCACGCAATCTCACTTCACGTTATGTTATTTCGGCCTTCGAAAGGAACATATTCAAATAACGCATTGACAAAGCGTTGTACCATTTAGACTTCTGGTGTTGCTGCTTGCAATAGGCTTGATAATTCATGCAAGAGTGTTCTCAGCTTCCAAACAGACGTATAGTTGTTATCATGTGAGCAGCTCGCTGAGTTCCCTAGCAAGTACTCTAAGTCACAGACATAACGTTCACTGCTTTTGATATGTTCACTTCAACCGTGCGATATGAATTATTCGTTGTTATTCCTTTTGAACACGATTTTGTTGTTCCATAACTCGGCGGTTCTTTCAATTCTACCGAGTTTACAAAATCCGAACAGTTTTAAAGCCATCTATGTTGCTTTGCCAAAATGTGTCTGAAGCTATTCTGTGCGTACTCTGACGTAACTCATTCGCACACCAGTTACTCATGGGTAATCATTCATTCCCGCATTTACATGGTTACTTGTGGCTTGTCTTTTGATCGGTGTTACTAGTTGGTGCGTTAACTGCACTCGGCTTACTGCTGACATTCCACCACGTTCAACTATGTGAATCATTTACGGCTGCTTATTTAGCGTCTACCAGAGTCGCAGTTGCTCTTTGGTTTGAAATAAGCGCACACTCAGTTCCGTAATACCGATACGTACTCTCACTATCAAATATCCCATAACTTAAATGACTGCGGAGCAGTGTTGCAAAGAATTAAGCGCGGAAATATCTAATCACAAGGTCTAACAAAATCCAATGTATTCCACACAAAACAGCAAACAATTAATACAGTTTGAGTTACAGTTTAGGAAAGCGGAATGCAATGCTGATATAGAATCAAGATAACAAAAGACGCCAATTATACTGCAAACGAACTCCTATTATTTGAAAGGTTTTTTGTTAATCATTCGATTGTGTGTTACCGGCAAAGAAGGGGCCAATGCAACGCGGTAGCTGGGAGGGTTTGCGCAGTTTTTGTGAACATCACAATCTGTTAGTTAGTGATGTCAAGGGAAGCAGGACTGTGATGTGTGGCCTGTTGGCTCAGAACTTCCTCCACCTGAAAAACAATAATTAATTTACTAATGGATGAATGTGTAGTACTGCGTTGAAGATTAAATAGAAACATACTTTGCAGGATTTCATCAAAGCGTTTCATCAAGGGCACACCATAATTTCCTAATTGTTTATGAAGGCGTAAAATATTCATCAGTATGTCAAAGCGAGCTCACTGGATTTTAAGTAAATATGACACACTACGCAAGCTGCGTGCAACATGGTTTTATGGTTACCGGGAATCACTACGCAGCCTTTTCCCCGCATTCAGAATTTTGGCGATAACGTAACTTGTGATATCACACGCTATCCAAATGTTATCGTCTGATCAGTAAATACATTACTATTCGTCAACCTCCGAAGTAGTGAGACGCACAGCATTCTGCACAAAGTGGCTACCATAGCAAACAGTGCGTCGATAAGGACCGAACAAACAAAGGCAGGCATTGCGATTTGTACTTTTCTCCAACGAACGTTCACGCATTAGTGATCACGGTTCTTGAGTGAATTCGTATGCTAGATTTCCACTACGGACGATGAAGCTGTCGATAGGACGGTATTGTACATGTTCCTCCAATTAACGGATCAAGCAATTAACCGCCCACATTAGGTGCACAATATAGTAAATACCATCCAAATGCATACCCCAAAGGAATATGTTAAGCGATAATTTTCCTATGATTAGAATTTTATGTAATTACTTCCTGACAAGCAGGCCCAATGCTTACTTGCATTCGCTAACGACAGTTGTTAAAGATGTACACAACATACTTTCATCCAATTGAACGTATCCGTTGAATTCGCACGTGGAACCCCGGCCGTTCAATGAGTGTACAAATTTGCTGTGTTCATTCATATACCATGCAATATCAACAAGATTGATTGCTTCCTTGGGCCGCAAGCGGTAGGTCCGCTGATCTTTGTCCTCCGAGGTCCTGTTTACGCTCTGAATTTCCTCGCAAGTGTCAGTGTCGTACTGCATATAATATTTTGCCTGTGAAAGATAATCACAGTGTAAGTAACAGTTTGCACAAAATCGTCTCGGATTGTTGGACGACATACAAATCTAAGTGACATCATCATCTTCTGAAGTCATTACGTTCTGTCGCAGACAGGAAGCAAATGCTCTAGCAATGAATGAAAGTAGAGGACAAGGGTGTTAAATATTAAACAAGGCAGCAAATGACGACAAGTACATCGAAGAAATTTTGCTGTAAGTGGTACTCAACATCTAATTTCAAATGTGTGGAATGTGTTGAGCATTTGTTGCAGTTTAAAATATTACGGTCTTACCACTTGGCACACATCCACATGTGAAGGACCAGTGACTATTGCCGCTGCAAGTAGGAGGGGCGCATTGTATTAAATTAGTTTATAGTATGGATCATCAAATGGTATTGGTGTTGGGAATGGTAAAGTGCCCATAATCTGACTGTGCATCTTACTGAAAAAACAAAGGTGACGTTTCACTTTGCAAAACAACTAAAAAAGGCAAACTATATGTTAGCCAACAAAGCAAGTTGAATTAGCTATTTTAAATTAGTAGTTTTGAGCTGACATGGTACATTTGAGGAAATGTGCCTACCCCGAATTGTCTATTAGGTTCAAATGGTGATGTTAAATATTTATTCTAAAATACGGGATAAGTACTTTGATTACGCAATTAGAGGTACAAAAAGAATTTACCTGAGGAGGCAAGATGAGTCTGGATAAAGACACCTGACCGTTTTCAGGTGAGGTCACAACAACAAGAGCAGCAATGAGCACGCTGAGCGATAGAGTCCGGAGATTTTAGCGACAATGATACCGCTAGTTACTCAGTCATTTGCCAAGATTGCCAGATAAACCTATTGTCCCTGAAGGAACAGCTTCTTCGACAGAGTACACTATCACAGGTGCAAGCACTATTTCCAATATTTGACGAGCAAATTAAAAGTTACCACCCAGGAAACAATTCCCAATACCGATCTGACGTAATTTCTGCGGTAACGAGGTAGCATTTCTACGTGTTACTTTGTGCTGATATGGATTTTATCCAACAGATCCTCATTCGTTTTAATAAGCTTACTTTGGCGCATAACTCACTTCAATAGACAGCATTGCTTTTGCGAAACGAATGCCACCCTAGTTCCAAGGGGTAATAAACACATTTATCTATTACATTTTATCATCATTTTCTACCTTATAGATGTAATTCACGATGAGTTGCAAGACAACCAAGTCGGCCGCATGCATGTGGTATGCCCGGATTATTTCACAAGGCAATATTGAAGAAATATTTACGAACATCACCCTGTTAATGGTCTGGCTGTACGCTGAACTCGGCAGTTTGGTTTCTACATTTGAGCTGCAACCAAACTGCCGCGCGCACTGAATACTGAGACCACTGACTGGTCAAACTGAGCTACCAATATATGCTTCTATATTACATTCCTATATGCTTCACCAAAGATATAGCGTGTGTAGTATTTCAACGTCTACAATAATGTTGCACAAGAATTGCTAGCGTCGGGGGTTGCAAAACCCATGAACATAGAATGACAGAGATATGAGCGACTTCGACAACACTTCTTGGCGAGCAAGTGCGTTGTAGTTGTACACCGAGGGTCACTACCAGACAAATGGAACCATCACACAAATATTTTTCCTAGTTTTACACTTATAAACGTCAGTTTAACACCCCATCCCATTCTTAGATTTAGCTTGGTTTAATGGTTTAAGTATACTCCCTACAAATTTTCACCAACCTATTGTCTAATCATTAGCTTATGTTATTAAGCCTGGTATCGTGCATTAGTATGTGAGAGAGATTCAAGACATAATTGACCTGCTTTGGTATCTATTGAAAAAATATCTTTCGGAGTATTTGTGTGTTTCCTTTTGGCGTCAATTTGTTTGGTTTTAGAATGTTGGTTTTTTGAATGCAAAGCTGAGTAGTTAGCCAATCCGTGTTCTTATAGCTAACAAATTTGCCATTATATGTTGCACATGTATTAGGCTATTAAAAGCAACGCTTTCCTAGTGATTGCTGCACGGCATTTGCTTCAATGAACTGCAGCTGAACTGATGTTATCTGTTCAAGATTGCGTATACATGTTCCCAAGAGCTCCAGGGGAAGAATTTTTGAGTAGACCAAAATTGGTCCTCCAATCTCTTGAATCGGGGATTTTTGTGCTAATTATGATGTGGTTGATGGGAGCTTCCAAATCAGCTGGTCCACAACTTGACCGAAATTGCATAAGACGGCTTTTGCCTGGTAGGGCCCCATCCACTATACGCATCGAATTGGTCGCCAGGCATATACCAATGCGTCATGGAGACAGCTGTTGCTACTTGGGTAGTACACAGAGTTCCCGGTGCCAAGTATATTCCTTTCCGGTTAGGCTAAAAAATAATCTTGTGAAATGTCACTGCAACAGTCATTTGCGATAAAATCAATTTATTATTTGCGCTCAATTTAATTTCTTAGTTTCTAATACAAAGGAATAATAGAGGCCGCAGCAAACGTGATTTGCAAAACATGAGCTATACTTACAATAATATCCTTCTTTAGGCACTGAAAAGAGAAGAGAAAGGCCACGAGTTCATGACTGTGGTATATATAGAAACCTTAGCTGCTGACTTTGTGACCAAGTAAATCTGAAGTGTCACAGATTGTTGCACCATCCACCAAGAACGCTTGCTTCTTGCAGATTAATTTGCAGCTGACCACCAACTTAGAATTTGCACCAGCGATATGCACACCCATTATACTAGTCCAATTAATACTTGACCACTGCATAGAGTATGTGCTAGGAGCACGAGTAATGCAGTTCTGGAACTTTCCTGCAAATGTTTAACTCATATGCACAACTGAGTACCACAAAGCAAATGGGAGTCTGTCGAAATGTGATAGCGTATGGGGTTTGGGTGATTATCATCAAAAGAACAAGGCATAATCAGTTTCTCCGTAGTCGGACAATCTATGATACCTGAGCGATCAGTGGATGAACTTTGTCATTATTTCGATAAACATAAGCTCTAGTAACGTTGTGGCATCAAAAGCCTTTTAAATATGATTATTTTCATTCATTGCAAATGCGCAGTTGCACAGAAGATCATAAATGAAAATGAATCCTTTGAAATAACCGGGGATATTTCTGTTTTCTCACTTTTGACAAACGCATTCTTGGTCTCACTATACTGAATGACAGGGCAAGATGTATTATTCCCATTCAAAAACGAATGGACGATAAATGCCGCACTTTTGCTATCCGTGAAGTCATCTAGACGACCACAAAGATCAGCCCGGAATCGCACATGGAGAACCCAATATCTTTCATTGCTCGGCGAAATTTTCAGCTCACATGAATAAAGGGAGCACGTAGAGCGGTCACGGATCTGGAAGTTTTGGAGATTACAGTCACGTCAGGCAATTCATACAATCAAGCTGTACTCTAAGACAAGGCGTTTTATGCATATAATAACACCTAGCCATGAAGAAGATTTATCGTCACAAGAACCCCGCCCCATTTCCATTGCGTCGGGCGGCAGCAGGTAGCTTTGCAATCCACTTGCATATGTTCATTCAACCTTAGGTGACGAAATTGTGACTGCATAATTTATGAAGGAAAGAACTTATGATCCCGATACTTAACCCCATCATGAACAATGCAAACGAAATTTATAAGTTCAACTTTACGCATTGCACCAGTGAAGCCATGTAACACCTTCATAAGATAAAATCACTAATTTCCGCTTGCGAATGACTTAGTTCATCTGAACAGGCAAGGTAGAATATAACATGACGTTAACAAGACTTACTCTATCTAGTGAGTAGATTAAGGTACGTTAATTTATAATTGTGGAAAAATAGTAGACGCCAAGCTTACCGTGTCACAGTTTAGGGTCGAAGCGCGATTTACGTCGAGTGTCATTTTGAAATCTGTTCAATGATAAGACGCACACACAATGAATTATATGCATTTTGACGGTTGTTTAGCGTTACGAATATCTGAAATCTGAATTCTGAGGTTATATCCTTAGCAAAATATAAGGTTCTGCAGACACCTTAGGTAGAACAGATAATATAACTGAGTTAATATTGCTCATTATCAATTTGTGCCCATTTCCTGAATAGTGAGAACATATTCTATCAATGATGGCCATTTGCCAATATTAATCATCACGAAATGTTTGCATTTTTATAACTGAAATATAAAAGGTCATTTTGTACACGATGCCGCTAATGCTTACAACGATTTGTGTTATGGACAAACCGTTAGCTCACTCCAAGTATTTTGGTCTGGATAATATACGGGGAGAGTGATGGGTGTGCAACTGCTTCCTTCGAATTCCAACATTTGTTGTATCCGGAACAGGCGTAGTAATATAGTGTCTGTTGTCCGGCGGTCATCAATAGCAGGCATCAGCATGGTTACATGAAATCGGTGGAAACACATTTGTGGCATTTCGGACATCGTCGCTTCCTGTTGGCAATCCATTGGTATCAACAACGGAGAACTTGCTCGTATAATGTCACAGACCTGTGTGCAGTAAAATGCGAGGGGAAAGGCTAGTTGACGATAATCGGGTCCATTTTCGTCCCTCGAAAATAAATTCATTTTTGCCTGAATGCCAACCTGTCGTTCTGGATGCAACACAACCTATTCCTAGTGTAAATCTTTCACCGTAATAACTGCAGCTTCACCGTTTGCTACGCTTGCGTATAACTTCAGCAAATGATGCATCTTAGTAGATAAGGTAACACGTATTTCACCTCGTCAACTATTGTCAAACCGGCAAATATAGAATACCCCAGTAGTAGCAAAGTAGTACCGTCATGCCAAAATAGTT